TCTCCTCTCTCCTCCTCTCTCGTCTCCTCCTCCCTCTCTCCTCTCTCTCTCTCTCTCTCTCTCTCTGTCTCTCCTTCTCTCCAGGTATCCACAATGTGATGCAGCATGACTCCATGATGGAGGCATCTAACACAGACTTTGTCCCGGTGGAGGCTGAAGATAACAGAGTAGCTAAACATTTCTGAAGGTCTCCAGACAACACTGTTGATTGCCCTACAACAGATCTCCCCCAGCCCCAGTCAGGTACACACAAACACGCACGCACCCACACAATCACACACGTACATGGACGCATGTAAACACACACACACACACACACACACACACACGTACACACAGGTTAACACACTCACACACACTAACATGCACATACACACACAGCCTAACACACACAGGCTAACACAAACACACACATATACACAGGCAAACACTGTAGACTGCTACATTGAAGGGAGTTTTATGGGTATTGTAGTTTAATGTGTGTGTTGTTGTGTGTCTCTGTCAACAGGAAAAGGTTTGGTCAGAAGAAGAATCTGTTGCTGTCTGTTCCTCCTGCTACAGCTGCCTCAGCTCAGGACAAATGCAAGGTAACTACACACCTCAACACCAAAGTGGTAGAACAGATGTGCTGACAGAAAACATATTTGTATCAGATCAGGGTTGTGTACAGTAGGGCACACAAATGGAAACGTTATTAAAATAATTCAGTGGAAATGAAAAGTAGTATTTCTTATTCTAGATAGCCCCCTCCTGTTTCGGTCTGTTTTCCTCCATTTGGTGCCTAATGAACACGATCCTGCTGAATCATATAATGATAATAATAATAATAATAATAACAATAATAATAATAATAATAATACATTTATTTTATATAGCACTTTTCATTGCAAGTGGAATCTCAAAGTCACTTTAAAAACTAAATAAACAAAAAACTATTTAACAAAACAAATGTAGGGATCTGGCAGTTCTTGGGCAATGGTCTTCCACAGCTTTAGATGATAGGCAGTTCAGAAAGGTAATACTGTATCTTGAGAGAAGGGAGCATAGATGGTACAGACAAGAAGGGAGGTAGAGAGACAGGCCACGGCGCTCCTCGTCGTTTTCGATAGTCATAGCTCCTCCTCCGTAGGTAGGCTGGATCGTCCACTACTGAAAGTAAAGTATTCTCAAGCATTCTCTGTTCCCCACGTTCTCCATAATTCTGTTCAATGTTCTAACCCAGTGTGTCTGCTCTGTCTGTGTAGGACGCTGCCATCATCAAGAAAACCATTGCCAAGAAACCCATCCTGGGGTGTCACTTCAGTGGAGAGGGGGTGGAGGGAGCAGAGGGGGCAGACTCTTCCTCTACTACTGCCCCCCTCTTCCTCCACTCTGCTGGCCTGCATTAAAGCTAGGAACCGCCTCAGCCTGCCCCAGAGAAAAGGGGATGGAGTGGAAGAGGAGGAGGAGGATGGGTGTCCACGTGCCCCCTCAGGCCCTCCTGGAGGGGGGAGGACACTCAAATCTGATTACTGATACCTGTGAGGAAGAGAGGGAAAAGGAGTGTAAAGAGGGTGAGGCAGAGGAGGAGGCATGTGGGCTTCGACTGATGGGGAGGAGAGAAGCAAGAGAGATTACAGAGAGGGAAGAGAAGAGAGGGGGACCTGAGTTACTGTAGTTGTAGTAGTTGGGTTGGGGGGGAGTGGGGTGCTATTAATGTCCGCTGGTGGAATTCCAGAAATGTGTTTTGTTTTGTTTATTTGTTTGTTTTGTTGTTTATAGGATTTACTTGAATTCAGCCGTTTACATGTAATTGAAGTTGCAACAGAGATTGACTCTGCGGTGGAAAATAACATATACAGTATGTATTAGTATTACAATGGATATTTAAGGTATTAAACTGTCCAATGCCATGTTAAGGTTGGATTTTGTAATATTCTAAAAAATAATATTTGTGCTGCTATTGGAACAATAATATTGAAACAAAAGTTAATTAATGAATAAATGAATGAATTTAGTTGGATCATCTTTTTCTTGTAAATATCAACGGGGTGGTAAATTAAAATGCTCTCCTATACTACCTGCTCTCCTATCTACAAACAAAGTAAGACACTTTATTTTTTCTGTTTTTTTAAGGCTGTTGAACAACTTGATTTTCTAAAGCCAAGGGTAAACATGTGGAGAAATATTCCTACATCGTAATAACTGACTAAATCAAACCTGATCTACCTCTATACCTGGCAGTTAGTGTAGATAGAAATGTAAAGCTACATGCCAACTTTTATAGACACAATAACATGACTGTGCATGTCATAATGATGGAATACATCTCAGAAGTGTAGTCATGTGTACTGTATTAGATTTTTTCTAATTGTAGTGAGAATCCAATTTTCGAATGTTATAGTCCCAACCACATACTTATACTCCGTAGAAAATATCGATTTATAATTTAGCTTCAAGGTTTTCTTTCAAAATAGCTTTTCTTTTATATAAGTTAATCCCCTTTCTACTACACACAGCAGTAGCAGGTCACACGGGCTCTCTTAAATCACACCTGCCTTTTACAACCTCTGAGCAACGATTTAACCCAACCACTATTAACCCATATTAACTATTATGTAAATGTTACTATCAATGATATAAATATCATACAGAGCTTGCTTCGTGTATGCATACATGGGGAAATACAGTATAGTGGTTCGTCCAAAATACACAAAAAAAGTATTTTGGAATCAAATATTGATCGCTTTATAGTCCTTTGAGCTCACTTGAGGATTTTCTTTTGGAGCATATCTTTCCCTGTGTACAAAACAAAGCTCGAGAAAAACAGGTGTCCCAATTCCAAAACAATAAGTAGACTTGTGCAACTATTATTGGCTATTTTTCACAAACCGTTTCAGGAGAGGCATCAATCAGAGAAAGAGAGAGAGAGCGTGTCCTCGGTGGCGCTGACCATGGTGTTGAAATGCCTAATGGTGTCGTGTGGGGTTTTGGCTTGTGGGTTGTCAATAGGCTTACTACTTACTATTAGGTCAAAAGTCTTAGTAGAATTATTTAAGTCATCAGTCGAAACAAACGAACTCAGAAATGGCTCCTCCTGTCGTCATCCTTATTCTCAATTCTTCACTTTATGTGAGTAACGGTGGGGTGACAGAGAGCTGCAGTTTTTACACAGACAGACCACTTGACAAGGTGTCTTTACTGACGCACGCGCACACACACACACACACACACACACACACACACACACACACACACACACACACACACACACACACAAAAGGGTTCTTTGGCGTTATATATAGAACCTTTTCTTCTAAGAGTGTAACACACTCCTGTCAGTGTAAGAACGTATAGACCAACCTTTGGAGTAACAGTTATTTGATTTCAATTTTCTCCTCGCATCTCACCGTGGTCGTAATAACAACTTTATTTTCAGCAGTGCATAAATTAATTACACGCATTTAATAACCAAAATATCATTATATCCCCCCTTTAATATCATAAATGCTGCTCACAAGGGAAGCTCTTAATAACGCACGGGCAGTAACTGGCCATTACCCGACTGTAATGATATTACAGACCCAATTACCCGCCATTAGATGGGCTTCTCTGCATCTTATGTGCGTTGATCCAATCCCACCCTTCTCTTCCAAATTTCAGCTGCAGTTTGGAGCCTCATTTCGCCTCTCCATAAAGACTCCGGCGTCTGCGCTGTGATGTCCCTGATGCGCTTTAAAACTAATTGAAAGGGTCCTGTGGTATATGTTTATCTGCGGAAGCGATATAAATCGTGAGACCCCTTGCTGTGAAGAAAATCAAAATTCTGGGCGTTGTAAATGTTATAATATGCCAGCCCCTTGTAAAGTGGACCCGGTAACCCACCTAACGAGCAATTAATGGCCCGGCAGTCAATCTCAAACCCAACATAGAAGCAACCAAATAAAGAAGTGCACCGGCTGTGTGTATGTGTGTTTTTATGGTCAGGGAATAACCACTGGTATAACAGCAGAGTAATCTGCAGGGGGAAAATATTTTAATTCTCAGATAAGCTACCTGGGAGAGTTGTTTCCTACCCGGGTCGGCCCCTGACGCACACACACACACACCGAGATGGTCCCACTCACAGTGAGAAGACAAAGCCGCGGTAATCCGATTAGAACCAATTAGGCGTGAGATTCTAAAGGCAGCACGAGCTGAAGCCTCAAAACGCTGTAGACATCTGGACCCTCCCAGAGAGAGAGAGAGAGAGAGAGAGAGAGATGAGTAGAGAGAGAGAGAGATAGAGAGATGAGGAGCTAGAGAGATAGAGATAGAGCGGAGATAGAGAGAGATAGAGAAGAGGATAGAGATAAATCAATGACGAGCTCTATGATCAGAGACGACGAGACTGAGCGTCGAGATCAGATCTCGCTCTATATATCTCGAGAGTCAGACTCGACTCCTCGCAGTATCTTGCCGACAATAGAGCCGATCTTAGAAATGAGTTCCTCTGTCATCCTAAGCTGAGGATGAGAGAGGAGATGATCAGAAAACGTTAGCACACCTGGAAGGGTGTTGAAACTTACTTGAACCTGTTTTCTGGAGCGGTTTTTGGGTTTTTTCCATTGGATTGAATTGACAGATAATTACTGATCGATTTGAGCCCTTTCCCAAAGCAAATAAAGCATAAGAGGGGACACAGTTTGGGGCCCCAGAGGAAAGAAGATTTTGGGTCATTAAGCCCCGACAGGCTTCTCAACAGAAACAAGATCGAGCGAAGTAAGAAAAGATGATGATTTTGAGCCCCTGCCGAGTCTTGAGGGCCTGGGACTAAGGAGGGAGAAGAAGAGCAGCCAATTTTGGGTTGCTAGGGAAAGAAGAGGAAATAGGAAAAGTTTTTGGGAAACAGGGAAGAAAACAGCTAGGACAAAACCCCATTTCAAAAGAAAAGGGAGGCCAAAGCAGAATGGGAAAGGTAAGAAGAGGGTAGTTGAGAGAAAGATGAGAAAGGAAAGAGAGATAGGAACTGTGACTGGAAGTGGAACTGCCGGTTCCTGAGACAAACAGGAAACTTCTCGCGCCCTCTCAGCATCCTCTCCTCCTTGCTCCCTGGACCAGCGCAAGACAAATACTCAGCAGGTATCTCAGACAGCGGGAATATCTATCAGATAGGCCTATCTACCATTTTCTATCATATATAGGCTACATCTTTCGTATATCATTTACAATCATTTATATTACTGCTATTGCAAGAGGCAACTGGGCATTATTTCTGATTTGTCTCTTTAAAACATTTGGTGAGTGCCTCTTGTCTTATCCTAATTGACTATGTTGATGAGGATTCATCTCAGCAAATAACGTTGGAGTGAGCACATGGCTTTGGCATGGTTTGTTTACTTACTTTTATAGCTCGTTTATCTGGGAGAAGAGCAGGGAGTTTTGTGGAGTTTTTTTTTCTTTTTTCTATTTTGTCATTGTAATATGAGCACTATAATAATTTCACTGATTACGCAGTTTGTATTTTGGCCCGTTCCACTACTGTCAAATATTCATACAGACAGCTTGGACACATCTGGACCCGATATGCTCTGATCAGCAACTGAAATGATTTGGTTTATTTTCAGATTTCTCCGTGACATCGGGCTTTCGTCCACACAGATCCACAGATAAACGAAGCCACCTAGAAAACCATCATGTTTTACTTCCACTGTCCCCCTCAGCTAGATGGAGAATGCTGTCGGACTAATACGCGTAAGTAGGCTAGACCGTAGCCTACAATGCAGCAACTTTTGACTGCTTCGCAATAGATAGGCTAGAACGTGTTGACAGTTGTTTTATTTGGGAAAAGCAGGTTTATAACTATATCACTCTATAACTTCTCTATCTTTGCAATCAAGTTTAAATATTTGTAGCCTAATGCTACTCCGGAATAGGCTGTAAGAAGAGTGGTTTAAGTTGAATGACTCATGAAAACTGCAAACATCTGAATAACATATTTGTATCACTTTATTTCATTGTGGTAAATAAAGTGTGTCTGTGTGTGTGTGTGTGTGTGTGTGTGCGTGTGTGTGCGTGTGTGTGTGTGTGTGTGTGTGTGTGTGTGTGTGTGTGTGTGTGTGTGTGTGTGTGTGTGTGTGTGTGTGTGTGTGTGTAGCCCCGGGGCTGAGGCAGGTGTGTTGTCCCGTCTGCGGCCACATGTGTTTTGGTGTCATGCCTCTCAGACCGGGACATCAATGTTTGCATGGCTCTAATAACATGAATACACTAGATCATAGCCCGTTTCAATGGGCCATCCTATTTATTCACATCCTAAAAATAAAATCCTGCTTAATTAGTATTCCGTTCAATTTAGGTTTGTTATTTTTATTGGTAAAATATGTTGCAAAGTGTTTCCATGTTGGGTTTGAAGTGAAAACAAACGAAAATATATTCAATTTATTTATATCAACAAGTATTTGTATTGGAACATTTCTTAGATGATGTTGTTATGTTTCCAGTGAACAGCAACGGGTTTGCCAACCATGCGTCAGCAGGTGATTTTGATGACGGCTTTCTGCGGAGAAAACAGCGGAGAAATAGAACAACATTTACTCTACAACAGGTAGCAACCAATTATAACGAATTTAATCCAGTGCGAACAAAACCATGTGTCAAGCTAGCTAGGCTATACACATGTAATATTCCATAATAATGTTGATAAAGATTATTATGATGACGCTTGTCATTATTTCCACCATAAAAATAAAATATAGCACTTCCTTATTGCTTGCATAGCATTTTGTTGCCTACATAGGCTAGTCAAATATACAATTGTGTGTAGTGTTATTAACATGAATAATAAACTCGCATAACTTTAAAACTCAGCATATTATATTTTCCCCTTTCACAGTTGGAGGCTTTGGAGGCTGTGTTTGCGCAGACTCACTACCCCGATGTTTTTACACGTGAGGAACTGGCCATGAAGATCAACCTGACTGAGGCGCGTGTCCAGGTGAGCACACACACGCACGCACACACACACACACACACACACACACACACACACAAGGCACTCTGTCATTCTCTTGATGAGCATTAATAATTTATCCACTTCGATGTAAAGTCCTCTGTTTTGGGGATCTGTGTGGTTCTGGTACTGGTTACCACCGACATTTTCACTTATAAATCAATCTGTGGACACTGTAGATTGGAATGGCTTGCATAGAGCAGTAGCCCTGATTCTCACAGACACAGGAGTATGTCTCTTTTGCTGGTGTGAAGCAGGATGTGAAAACTGACACCACTTGAAGCTGGGATGTCCCTCCTACCATTTAATTTGCTCTTCTGACTGTCCATTAACTCCAGGCTAAACCCTATGTCACAGCCACTAACAACACATATGCCTGCAATCCTTACATCATAACGCAGTAGAAGAGAGTGATTCCTTCACTGTAGCACATTCAGAGATCGATTTATAGCCAGTAATCTAAAATAATTAATAGATTCTAAACAAAAAACACCTTCTGTTTGTCATAGACGGACAAGATTAATATGAGATGAAAGGCGAGTTCCTAATGAGTTCAGGAAGCCATGTTAGAGCTCTGTGAGATGTTCACAGCGATGGGGTCAGACGTTTTGATCAAGAGAGACCTTTAGAAAATATGGACATTTTCTCTAACACTACATATACAAATGTGTATTTTACAGTTATATGGAAGGGTGACATCTTATAGTTAGTCATTTTATACATTTATTATACTATATTTAGAACAAATATAAGTCATTTCAAGCCTTATTCATACAGTTTTGTTTAATAGGAATTACGTCATATAAAATATTTAATATTTTCATATTGTTATCATATTTGTACTGTGTACTTGAGCTTGTGTCCTCAAAATTGACTACACCTTAGCAATGTATAACAATTTTTTACCAGAAAGGTGAGATTTTAACCTTTCTTGGAGTATGCAGCATTACTAGTTATTGTTTATGGCCCTCTCATGATAAATGATTACTTTTGGGGATGAAGTAGATTATATTTTCGATTACATTTAGTTACATTTAAGAGGTTTTAATAACATCAACATAATGGTGAATATTAGATTAGGTTGATTAATCGGTCATTCATAATTAACCAGCGATAATGTTCTTCACTAATTTGTCCACATCTCAAAGGTACAAAATAAATGCATCATCCACGGGTGTCCATTTCCATGGCTCGGAAAAAAAGAAGCATAAGGGATGCTTTTAAAGACAGCAGTAGATACAAATGTTAAGACAGCATTAAGGATGTACACGCTCACACCCACACATGCACACCCACAAACACACCTTAACATTATTTTTAAATTTGTCCATTTATATTCTGACCCTGCCCTCCACATATGCTTGGTTATAAACTTGTCCAGTTGTAATTGAATTCAGTGTGTCCTGTATGTAATTCCATGCATTCCAGATTTGCTTTTGGGTTTTGTTGTGAGCGCAGATCTAATTGTAGGAAATATAATAGTTAGGCTTTGCTTCCCCTGGGTCATCTTACTATCGCTTAAAGCCGACAGCGCGCAGGATAATGGAATCCCAAGCTGTAAATTAGGGATTGTAAACAAATTATTCTGTTCTAATCCGATTACAACATTCTTATTATTAAATCTGAACATGAATCGGCTGCAGCATACAGGGACATTATTATTAGAAAATAAATGTCCTTTCGGTTGTAGTGTTGTTGGCTTGTCTTTATTGTGCTGTGCATGTCAATGGATTTCCCCCCTACTTAAAGCACGTGCTAAATGGAGATTAATGTAGCAATTACCGGCCATTCAGAGGGACGGGATCACGACTCTTTAGCTATAAGGTGCTGTAAGGTGCAGGGGTGAGATAGTCGTCTCACAATGACAACAAGCCGCCATATTGTTGTCCTGTCACTAAACCAAACTGTTGTCCTTTTCTTTTACATCGATTGAATGCGATTCATTTTGTTTGGATGTTGACATCATTGTACCTCGGCTCGTCGTACAATAGTGACTGTTCTGTCCCACGTGCAGGTCGCATGCCGTTGTTCTGATTCGCACCCCCCTCCAACCAATTCCATTCACACACATCATGATTAATGCGTGCGCGAGCGTAGTCTTAATCGAATCTGATGTTGTCAAACAATCACTAAATAGGGGAATAAACGACTTAATCACAGTTCTCTCACTCAGGCACCGACTGTCAGTGGGAAGTCATTAAAATATGATAATGAAAAATTGCTCAATTAAATGTTGTTATAGGCAATGACCTTCATTCAATTAGGATATAGTAGTTGGCAGTATGTGGCGGGCTGGAGACTATGGGTGGGTGAAGTTTGGGAGAAGTTGCAGTGCAAAGTCACTCAGGCAAAGAGCTTTGGTCCAACACACACGCACACTCACACACACTCACACACACACACAGGGACATTTTTATCTTTATATTATCATGAACCAAAAATGACATGAATTTTTGATACATTGGATAATAAGACACAATAGACCGTGTCCATATTTCAGTGCTGAGACATGATTAATGAAATCTGTCAATTTTCTGACAGACTGAATAGTACCTTCCACTCCTGGGTGCATAAATACAAAGATGCTGTGTCTCTTTTGAAAAATGATTTTATCTCGATGAGACTGAACAAAATTTCAACATACAAAAGCAGGTATTGATTAGACTACTTTAAATTGCACAAGGGAGAGAGAGTGCATGGAGCAACATTTCTTTTTTTCCTCCTCTCCTCCTGTCTAGGTGTGGTTCCAGAATCGCAGGGCCAAGTGGAGGAAGACGGAAAGAGGGAGTACAGACCCCGACGGAGGTAAGGAGCAGATGAACGAGGGAGGCACTCCTCCGTCCAGGAGTCTGAACTCCCAGTGTCCTGTGGACCAGAGCAGGAAACAGAAGGAACCTCTGGAGATGCAGCAGAGGTGAGAGAACAGGGATGGGGACATAGGTGGGGACAGGGACATTGGTGCATGGGGACAGGGATGAGTTTGTGGGGATCGTTCCCTTTCAGAGTTAGGCCTCTTCTCCCATGACAAGTTTTTTTTTTTTTTTTCCAGTAGCCGGTGACGTTGACGCTGTTATGTGGTGCTGAATGCCTGAATTTTGAGATTCTGATTTAGCCACTGTCCATGGTGTTGAAATCTCACTTTCCCAGGGGCCAGTAACGTTGCAGCTGTACCTCACGGCAGCTGTCCACTGTTACGTGGTGCTCAACAACAGATCACAGGATTCTGAGTGTGCAGCTGTCCGTGGTGCTGAAATCTCAGTTATTTGCTTGTTGTTTACATCGGAACTTCTACACGTGATTCATTCACCACAAATGCTAACCCACTCCTCTTCCCCTCCTCTTCACTTTCCTTCAGTTGCAAGATAACCATAATCTCTTATCTCTGCTCTGAGTCATTTTAAACGAACCTCCCTCCTCTCTCTTCCCACAGTATAAACCGAGCGGTGGGTCCTGGCGGGCCGTTCTTCCCATCCTGTCTACCAGGGACCCTCCTGAACTCAGCCACCTATGCCCAGGCTCTGTCGCACGTTGCCACAATGAAGGGTAAGTTAACACAGCTAAAGCTTACTACAAGCTCTACGGAGACGCAAGATTCAGAACGTAGCGCAGTGTTGCAATGTTGTTTTTCATCACAAAAGGGGTGGCTCCTTGTAGATACGCTCCGGCATTCAACATACTTTTGTACTACCTGAAAAATAAGATGTGCCATATCATTCCTTCTGCAGCTGTGGGTGCAGTGTTGTCGCTTGATTCCTTGATCTGATCTATAGGCTATATACGCTATTCATCAAAGTAGCCTATTTTGCATTGATAACCAAATATAATCTCAGCAACTGTTGAAACAGTACACCAAACAACAAGAATCCACCAAAAAAGTTATTTTGTTTAGAAGTACAGTACCAGTCAATAGTTTGGACACACCTACTCATTCAAGGGTTTTTCTTTATTTTTACTATTTTCTACATTGTAGAATAATAGTGAAGACTTCAAAACTATGAAATAACACATGGAATCATGTAGTAACCAAAAAAGTGTTAAACAAATCAAAATATATTTAATATTTGAGATTCTTCAAATAGCCACCCTTTGCCTTGATGCACCAATTTGTAAGTCGCTCTGGATAAGAGCGTCTGCTAAATGATGTATATGTAATTACAGCTTTGAACACTCTTGGCATTCTCTCAACCAGCTTCACCTGGAATGCTTTTCAAACAGTCTTGAAGGAGTTCCCACATATGCTGAGAACTTGTTGGCTGCTTTTCCTTCACTCTGCCGTCCAACTCATCCCAAACCATCTCAATGTGGTTGAGGTCGAGGGATTGTGGAGGCCAGGTCATCTGATGCAGCACTCCATCACTCTCCTTCTTGGTAAAATAGCCCTTACACCGCCTGGAGGTGTGTTGGGTCATTGTCCTGTTGAAAACAAATGTCCCACTAAGCCCAGACCAGATGGGATGGCGTATCACTGCAGAATGCTGTGGTAGCCATGCTGGTTAAGTGTGCCTTGAATTCTAAATAAATCACAGACAGTGTCACCAGCAAAGCACCCCCATGCCATAACACCTCCTCCTCCATGCTTTACGGTGGGAAATACACATCCGGAGATCATCCGTTCCCCCACACCGCGTCTCACAAAGACACAGTGGTTGTAACCAAAAATCTCAGATTTGGACTACAGACCAAATGACACATTTCCACCGGTCTAATGTCCATTGCTTTTGTTTCTTGGCCCAAGCAGGTCTCTTCTTATTATTGGTGTCCTTTAGTAGTGGTTTCTTTGCAGCAATTCGACCATGAAGGCCTGATTCACACAGTCCCCTCTGAACAGTTGATGTTGAGATGTGTCTGTGACTTGAACTCTGTGAAGCATTTATTTGGGCTGCAATTTCTGAGGCTGGTAACTCTAATGAACTTATCCTCTGCAGCAGAGGTAACTCTGGGTCTTCCATTCCTGTTATGGTCCTAATGAGAGCCAGTTTCATCATAGCGCTTGATGGTTTTTGCGACTGCACTTGAAGAAACTTTCAAAGTTCTTGAAATGTTCCGTATTGACTGACCTTCATGTCTTAATGTAATGATGGACTGTTGTTTCTCTTTTTGCTTATTTGAGTTGTTCTTGCCATAATATGGACTTGGTCTTTTACTAAATAGGGCTATCTTCTGTATACCTCCAATACTTTGTCACAACACAACTGATTGGCTCAAACGCATTAAGAAGGAAAGAAATTCCAGAAATTAACGTTTAAGGCGGCACACCTGTTAATTGAAATGCATTCCAGGTGACTACCTCATGAAGCTGGTTGAGAGAATGCCAAAAGTGTGCAAAGCTGTCATCAAGGCAAAGGGTGGCTATTTGAAGAATCTAAAATCTAAAATATGTTTTGATTTGTTTAACACTTTCTTGGTTACTACATGATTCCATGTGTTATTTCATAGTGTTGATGTCTTCACTATTATTCTACAGTGTAAAAAATAGTAAAAATAAAGAAAAACCCTTGAATGAGTAGGTGTGTCCAAACTTTTGTCTGGTAGTGTAATAACTAGTGATTCCAGGCTATTGTGAAATGGTATAACCTGCTGTAGCCAACTAGCTCGTGTGTTTTTTTCTCTGTGAACTAAACATGATGACGCTCTATTTTGAGCTGATATCGGAATGAATACACAAGCAGCATATCAAACTGGGATAATGTTTTACGTTAAACCGGCAAGTATACGAATATAATGTATACTGTATGACCAAAAGTATGTGGACACCTGCTCGTTGAATATCTCATTCCAAAATCATGGGCATTAATATGGAGTTGGTCCCCCCTTTGCTGCTATAACAGCCTCCACTCTACTGGGAAGAATTTCCACTAGATGCTGGAACATTGCTGCGGGGACTTGCTTCCATTCAGCTACAAGATTATTAGTGAGGTTGGGCACTGATGGTGGGCATTTAGGCCTGGCTCGCAGTCGGCGTTCCAATTCATCCCAAAGGTGTTTGATGGGGTTGAGGTCAGGGCTCTGTGCAGGCCAGTCAAATTCTTCCACATCGATCTCGACAAACCATTTCTGTATGGACCTAGCTTTGTGCACGGGGGCATTGTCATGCTGAAACAGGATACTGCCTTCCCTAAACTGTTGCCACAAAGTTGGAAGCACAGAATCGTCTAGAGTATCATTGTATGCTGTAGCATTAAGATTTCCCTTCACTGGAACTAAGGGGCCTAGCCCGAACCATGAAAAACAGCCCAGACCATTATTCCTCCTCCACCAAACTTTACAGTTGGCACTATGCATTCAGCAGGTAGCGTTCTCCTGGCATCCGCCAAACCCAGATTTGTCCGTCGGACTGCCAGATGGTGAAGCGTGATTCATCGCTCCAGAGAACGCGTTTCCACTGCTTCAGAGTCCAATGGCGGCGAGCTTTACACCACTCCAGCCGACGCTTGGCATTGCGCATAGTGATCTTAGGCTTGTGTGAGGCTGCTCGGCCAAGGAAACCCATTTCATGAAGCTCCAGATGAACAGTTATTGTGCTGACATTGCTTCCAGAGGCAGTTTGGAACTCGGATCTGAGTGTTGCAACCGAGGACAGGCGATTTTTACGCGCTATGAGCTTCAGCACTCGGCGGTCCCGTTCTCTGAGTTTGTGTGGCCTACCACTTCGCGGCTGATGTTGCTCCTAGATGTTTCCACTTCACAATAACAGCACTTACAGTTGACCGGCGCAGTTCTAGCAGGACAGAAATTTGACGAACGTACTTGTTGGAAAGGTGGCATCCTATGACGAAAGTCACTGAGCTCTTCAGTACGGCCATTCTACAGCCAATGTTTGTCTATGGAGATTACATGGCTGTGTGCTAGATTTTATAAACATGTCAGTAATGGGTGTGGCTAAAATAGCTGAATCCACTAATTTGTAGGGGTGTCCGCAAACTCTTGTATATATAGTGTATATGTATGCAGGTAGATCAACGGAGTGAAGCTTGTAGTAACCTTAACAGTTAACACAACTAACACACTCAATGGTAAGAGGAGAGGAGGAGGATGGTGATGGTGGTGGTGATGATATACATACCTTACTGTATTTGTAAGAAACCCTTAAACAATTTCCTGACCCTGACCTGTGTGTTTATTTCTGTGTGTGTGTGTGTGTATAACCAGGAGGTGGTCTGTGCTCTTGCTGTGTTCCTGACCCAATGGGCCTGTCCTTCCTGCCCCCCTATGGTTGTCAGGGCAACCGTACAGCCAGCGTGGCAGCCCTGCGGATGAAGGCCCGTGAGCACTCTGAGGCCGTGCTGCAGTCAGCCAACCTGCTGGGGGCTGGCCATGGGCATGGTGCTGGAGTAGGAGGCCTGTCCGAGGTCGGGGTTTCCGGGAATGGGTTGACAAGGCCCGGGATGGGCCCTGCCCTGGGAGTTATATCTGGATCAGTGTCGGGCGTCTCTGGAGCCGTGGGGAGAGGAGCAGGGGGCGGACTTACTCTCAGCCCAGTCTCCAAGACCCCGACTCAGGGTAGTGGGTCTGACAAACAACCCCTCTGCCCCAAGGAACCACTCGAGAAAAAGTGAGTGTGTGTGTCTGTGTCGCTGCCCAGAGGAGACCGACGTACGGACAGTGAGGATGTACAGACAGACGGATGGACTGGGACTTTAACTCCTGTGGTGTGACTGTGTCTGTTGTTATGACCACGTTCCCTCTCCCTACTCCCCCTAAAGCACAACTATGGACCTATTCCTACTGGAGCAGGGAGAGGAGTGGTTACCCAGATATCATACTATATGGATTTAACTATCAAGATATTTATTTGATTGTGATTTATTTATTGTGGATGAATATTGCTGAATGTCATGGGGCTGTTGCTGAACCTTTATAATGGACTCTAAAAGGGATAACTTGAATACATTGTGTGTGTGTTTGTGTGTGTGTGTGTTCATGTGCGTGTGCGCTTGTGTGTGTGTGTGCTTGTGTGTGAAAGAGACCCTGGCTGATGTGAATCTGAGGCATTTCTCTTTCTCTCTCATCTTGGCTACACTCTCCCTTGTGTATTATTAGAGTATTGTGTTACAGAACGTCACCAGACAATGTAACATGTTATGTTTGTCTTCTTATGAACACATGTAAAGCACAACGTGAAATATTGACAAGCTATGGTCATCATTGTTCAGGCTTTTAGGCCAGCGACCAGAGAGAACTCCAACTAATGATTTATTTATCTTGTTTAACTGACAGGGACAGTGCACATGAATCAACGTATACATTTTCACATCGATGTTAAAGTGCCACAGTTGAAGCTTATGTTGCTTCCCGGTCTCTTGGCTAATAGATATGACACAACAGTGGTGTTGATATCAGGGCTGTTGCTAATATCTATTCAGTCTGTTAGTATGTCTGTAGTGTTACTAGCATTAGCCGAACCCGGATCACTTTAGTCCTGTTGTGACATGTTCTCTAAAACAATTAAAGATGTATTCTCTCCTGTTGCGTCCCGCCACGGCCATCTGCTCCTATCCATTATTCATCAGCTTCCCTTAAAGCTGGAGAGAGACGAGAGCGATCATTGTACTTATTATTTATTTACTTTTAGGAACGCCAACGCCACTCACTGCTTTTCTTTTCTCTCTCTCTCCCTCTCTCGCTCTCTGTCTCTTGCTGCCTCTCTCTAGTCTTCTCCACCTCTCCCTCTCTCTCACATGCCTCCCCTCTCTCTCTCCCTCTCTTTCTCTCTCCCTCTCTTTCTCTCTCGCCAGGTTACTATAACCCATTAAACATGATACATGCTAATTATTAATGCCTAAATGTATATTTACAAAACACTTTTTTAAACACCCAGAAGCTCCTTCATGGTTCATCAGATTGGCTGATAAATAAGACCCCAGCCGATCAGATGGAGAATATTTAACCGCAGCGAGAGAGATCACACAGAGACCAGGACTTAGGCTGATTCAATTTGTGTCCTTGAGGATTTTCAGGAAATTACTTTTGTTAGTCAATAACGCAATTAAGTAAACTACATACACATTAGCATTAATAATTGATGGTGAATTATGTATCACCACAAAGTACTGGGTTAATAATTAATGATGAGGGAGACACCCTGGTGACATGGAGGAGGGAGATAATGTCAGAAGGCCTGGATGGGGAGCACTCACTCTTTTATTCTATCTCTTTCTATTCCTCTCTCTCCCACTCTCTTTCTCTATTCCTCTTGTTCTGTAACTATCTCCCTTTCTATTCCTTTCTATATTTCCCCCTGTATCTTTCTTTCATCTCTCTCTCTCTTGTCTTTCACACTGAAATCGACTGCATGCTGTGCATAGTTCATATATATTAATAAAGTGAAGATTTAATTGAATCTTTGAGTCATTGAGTTATATTGTTAGTGTGTTTGTATGAGCAAGACTTCTCTCTGGCTTATTTTGTTTTACACTTTTTAAACAAAACAAGTAAAACCTCATATGAAACAAAGAGCTATGCATGTAGTTTGTTGAGTGTGCATGATTATACTCTAAAATGTCGATACAATTGTGATGCTTCCATTCAAAACTTTTGACCAGTGATTGTGTTTTCCAAACTCATCTAAACTCATCTAAACTAAGTAGCAATGCCACTCATGTAACATTGAAATGTTGGCCAGATTTATACAGTGAGGAAAGGCAAGTTCAACTAGTTATTTGTATTTTTGCATTACTCCAGTCATTGTAGCACATATTTTTCAGAATATCTATTATCCAATCAAGCCCAATCAAGGATGACTTGATTAATCATATCCTAATATGGTAATATGTAAATGTATGCGTTTGAAAAACCCAATGACATGGCAGCGAATTATAATATTGTATACACTTATTATAACAATGGTTATATTGTGTGTACTTATTATACCAATACTTATTATAACAAATGTACACTGTTACCCAAAATGGAACATTTATTATATCATGTGGCTGACATTGACATACGGTCTAAAACTCACAAAGGATACAGACAAAACATTTAAATCTCTCCAAATTGACTACAGTGGTTTTGGAATTGAATCATAAAAAAAAGGATTCAGGCCTTATACTGGTTCCGATCATCATAAGTTCTGTATAGCACTCATAATTCACTGCTTTAAAATGCCATAAACAAGTCAAGTTGCTGTTGACATCTCCGCTGTGCATATGGCATCTATGATAATTCTCTGTCACCTAAAATAAGTCCTGCAGCAGTTTTGTGGAGCATTGTTATATTAAATTAACTGGAGCGCAGCCAGAAACACAAACTGACAGAGTGAATACAGAGGCCAGGCATTCTACTCTGTTCTACACAGCCATGTTAATGGGCTTCTATTGTTGCAGTAATGAAAACATTATGCTGAGATACAGAAAGAGAGAGAGAGATATGTCCTGGACCAGGGGCACTTCACACTGAGAGACAACCAGCAGGATGAAGTTAAAACTGGATACTGATCGGAGGTCAGTTTTATATTTTCCATCCCTAATGGTTAGGGCTAACTTCTACCCGGCGGCAGAGAGAAACAGCGCAGACAGTGTTCAGGTCAGAGAAGAGACTGAACCTCCACCGTCATCATCACTGCTTTTAATTCCTGCATCAGAGATGATCGATAAGCCAATCAATTAGAATCAGTTAGACTCATCTCTGATGAAGGTATACCAGCAGCATATTTTAACGCAGAGAATAATGCATTTGTCTGTCAGATGTAACAACAGGCTTCAGACAGCAACATAACCACTGGAAGGCATCTGACTCAGCATGGAGAGGACAAGGACCTGCTCTCTGCTCTGGACCAGACTCCTGTCTCATATATCAGACCCAAATAATATTTTATTTATTGATCCTTTATTTAATCTGGTGTATCTCATTGAAAAATACATATATTTTGCAGAGGAGAAAAATGTGAAAGAATATTTTGTGTTTTGTATTTAACCTTTATTTAGGTTAAATAAAGTCACATTGAGGACAGGAGACCTTTTTTACAAGGGAGACCTGGCCAAGAGGGTAATGTTGTTAGCTTGTAAAAGAGGTCTCCTGAACTCAATGGGACTTTATTTAACCTAAATAAAGGTTCAATACAAAAGAAAAAACATTCTTTCAAATTTTGCTCCATTGCAAAATAGATTTATTTTTCAATAGGATACACCAGATTAAATAAAGGATAAATAAATAAAATATGATTTCACATTTATTGCAAGGACTTATAATTTATGGTTTAGGCTTCAGATTTGTTTTCACCCACTATAGAATTGATCAAAGTCTGAGAGCTTAGAGCCTTTTAGGGTGCATCTCAGTAGGGTTAATTTAATCAGTGATAACTGATGGAGTGACTTCCAGCTTTCTCACAGGTTTAGGGATACATACATAAATACACTAAAAGAAATGACTGAAGCGTTTTGCAGGCCATATGGGAGGACAGTGTATTGAAATAGGCCACAAATAGTGTGATTATGAAGGGTCTGGACACCAAATCTACTGTTATACTGAAGGAGGGGAGGAGAGAGAAGGATCATGGTTATGTATTGATCACGTCCACTAGGTGGTATCTTCGTCAGCTACTGAGTCCATCAACAGAGAATAGATAACCAATTCTGTCAACAACAAGAACAATACCAACCAACAACCCATTTTGTTTAAGTTTGCTTCTTTACAAAGTGTTTCTGAAAGATTTCCAAAATACTGACAAAGAAAGTTAATAGAGTGAAGTAAGCTGTGCTTTTATTCTGTCTGCAAAAGTCTGTCTCACACTATATAACTCACAGAAAGACAGACACCCTGTACACATTTCTCACTTCAGAAATGTGGATCTATTTATTGAAATCAAATCTACCAAACAGCAAGATTCAAATCAGCTTTTTTCACAGCCACACAATGTGGTTGCATATTTGCATAAATACAAGTTTGGTGTTCACTTTGAATAGACCTTTCAGCTTAGGTGATACAACAACAGTTGATTAAATTCACCACATTTCACTATTCTAAAATATTCTAATGAGACCATGTTGCAGAATCGTCACTGAATTGTGTGACAATATTTCATGCACACCAACCAAATTGTGGAATAAAAAAATTATCTAATCCATGTTTACAATGGTAGCAAATGTAACAGATGTAGCTAATGAGAACTTTAGTTTCTACAATCTGCCAAACTTCATCCCTAAAAGTACTAGCAGCACTAAAACTGTCAAATATTGTATTCTTATTCACTATTCACTTATATTAGTAAAAGTTGTAGGTGACCATGACATATTTCTCCACAAGAATATTGCAAACAGCATTTATCACAGTCAAAAATGGAACGGTAAACATTTCTGTAAAACAGTTCATAATAAATAGTCTTCATCTAATTCATACTTGCACTTCAAAACTACAACAATATCAACATCAGCAATATAAAGCAAACTTTACAAAACATCTCAGAAGAGAGACATTTTCTAATGAAAACAAAACCACAAAATAGTAAATTACAACAGACAAAGATCTTAAATAAGTCACATATACAGCCACATCGCTCCTGTTTCTTTAAATATATATTGAGCTTCTGTGAAATCTGTATTTTTGCATCTAAATGCTATCAAACGCTTCAAAACACTGCGGTTTATTTCATTTCATTTAATGTTATTCAACTTTTATCAGTGTCTATGATGCTGGAACTCTGCTCTAGAGAGACCAGGGTTGTGTTCATTATTAGGGCATGTAATGGAAAAAGTCAATTTTAGTCCATTTTCTTTCGTTTGGTGCCTAATGAACATGACACTGACAGGACTGCTTCAATTAAACAAAAGATGTCAATCAGTGTAGTCACCAGCCACCAAAATCCATAGCAAAGTCCTCCAGCTCGCTCATGGTGATGATGTCTCAGTGGGGGGTGGAGTTAGTATCATCACCGTACACTGCGCCCTCGTCTATCTGGCTATGTGTGTCGTACGCAGTGTGTGTGTCGTACACTCCCCTCCCCTGCCCAACCCTGACTTTTCTCTGTGGGCTGTGGATCCTGGGTGGGAGCCTCCGAGGCAGACATCCCAGAGAGAGACCTGTGAGTTGGCAGGGAGGAGACGGGCATGGGATGGTAGCTCCGGGGATACCCCTGGTAGAGCACATAGGGCTGGCTGGCCGGAGGAGCTTGGGGCTGGGTGTATGGGGGATACATTTGGGGTTGGGGCTGGGTGTATGAGGCTTCGGGAAGGGACTGAGGATAACTCTGTGGCTGGGCCTGAGAAAGAGAGCCTACCTGGCCTGGCTGATGGACATTCAGCTGGATGTACTTTCTTGTCTCCGGTTCAAAGAAGGTCTTGAGCTTCACCACAAAGTACTGACCAGACCCCGTGTCCTGTAGGACCTTCTTCTGGGTTAAACTCTGGGTGAAGGGCTGGGGGAGGCTGAGGGAGGAGGGGGAAGGGTAGTTGGGGTCTACATGGTACTGAGGGACATTCAGGGGGGAGGTGATAGGGGAGGCCAGGGGTGAGTCTGGCCTGTCATAGCCCCCCCCCCCACACACACTCCTCCTTGAGTAGGGCCGGGAGTAGGGGTGGGTGTAGGTGATCTTTGACGGGGCGTTGACCTCATTTGAAGGCTGAGTCTCTCGGATGGGGGGAGTCAGTGTGACGAGACGGCAGAGTCTTGATATACAGGAGTCCCGGCGCTCTCTCCTGTCCTCTCGTGCTCCTTGTCTCCCCTCTCTGATCTGCTCACCCTGAACTCTTCTCCGAAGCTCTTGTGAAAGCATGGTTTGACTGACTTGGTGAGAGAGGAGCCTCTGAAGATGTTGTCTTTGTCGCCATCGCCATCTCCTCATCTATCTGTCTCGCCTTCTTCTCCTCCTCCTTCTTCTCCACCTCCCTCTGTTGCTGTTGCTCTCTCCTCTCCTCTTCTTTCCTCTCCTCCTCTTTCTTTCTCGCTCTCCTCTCCTCCTCTCTCTGTTTAGCCTTCCTCTCCTCTTTCCTCTCCTCCTCTCTGTCTTGTCTTCCTCTCCTCCTCTTTCCTCTCCTCCTTTCTCTGTCTCTCTCTCCTATCCTCCTCTCTCTTCTCCATGCTATATATCTCTCCCAGAGAGGCCTGTGTTGCATGTGTTTTCTTCATATATTGAATTGCCTCTACTGAAGGGGAGAACAGGCATGTCGACATGGATGGGTTGGGTCGGTTGGTGAGAGAACAAGGGGTTTCTAGTCTTACCGTCGACCTGTGAGGGTATGGAGCAAGCTAGCAGAGGAGGATTCTGGGATTGATAGAGCCTTTGGCACCTATCATCCCCAGATTGGTACCCAGGTTGGTACCCTTGAAGTGGTTGCATGTTCTGGTTGTGGCACAGTGTCGTGTTTGAGAATGTGTATATCTGTTGTCTCTGTGAATCCCTCAGTTGTTTTGGCCTTGTTGAATGAGATTACCAGTTTGTCTTTTTCCCTCAGTCTGATCATCCCTGTCTTTCTCTGTTCCTGCTCCATGGAAGATAACACTCCTATCTTAGCCTCCATGTTTAGTTTGGCAGGAACCTCTGGTTCTTTCACAGCTACTGCATCTTTCTCGGACATCACTGTCACTGGGTGGTCTTGCTGTTCAGTCGTAAAGACAGGACGTCTACTGCATCATGGGAAAATATCCATTCTTTCTGCTTGGACTGTCCGTGTTAGGAGGGGAATCTTCTTTAAGACTGAACAGCAAGATCAGCCTTAGTCTCGTGTAGTCTGTGATGTCAGTAGGGACAGAAGGTAGTATCTTCTCTCTTGGTTTCACCTCTGGTTTAGAATACACTTTTTCTCTTGTTGGAAGTGCTGGGTTATTCTCTCTCTCTTTTGCTGTTGTTTCTACGTTGTTGTTCTCACTTACCCCTGACACAACACGGATGGCTATACTATCGATGTCAACATTATTGTCACCAGTGGGTTACTCTGCTCCTGAAGAAACATGTTTGGTAACTGAATGACTTTCAATCGTTTTTTGGCTATCAATCTCACTTGTTCCTGATACAACATGGATTGCAATACTGTCTATGTGTAAATTCTCCACTTGGCAATCTTGAAAACGTACATCTTTGACACCTTGAACGACACTGCTCTTTGTCATTTCCACTGATGCAAGGTCAGCTTTGCCGATGGTTTCATTAGTAGGAGGGTTGTTATTTGCGTAGTTGTTAGGACTTCTTGCAGTCATGCCCTGTTTAAAGAGGAGAGGGAGAGGTTGAGTTTCATCCAACTGTTTACTTTTAGCCTGCTCTCCTGTGCGTCCATCTTTAACTGCAGAGGTGTCAAGGAGTAGATTCTCCGTCCGAGACTGATCTCTCCCATACAATGGAGGATCCTCCTGTGAATAATTATTCAGGATCTATCTTCATGGTTTCAGGTGCACCTTCGTGGTTTCCCTCTGGCAGCTGAGTTTGCTGTCTAACTCTGGCCTTTTCTGGATTTACAGGCTCAGCAAATGTAATGTATTCCCTATTGCTTGTTACAGTTGATTTTGCTTCATTATCTGAAAGTCTTTCATCTGCAATGGGAGCCATGGCTGGATGAGTCAATTGTTGTTGGTCTGAGGTGAGTAGATTTTTATTGGAAATAATTGCCTCTTCTTCCCTGTTTACCTTATCTTTTACTGGGGTGGGTTGTTGTGGAGTAAAAACGTCATCTTCATCCACTGAGGGTTCTCTTTATGGTCACCATTATCCCCATGATCTGCAAACTGTCATCATCTGAAACTGCCTCACTCTCGCCAAGAACAAGTTTAAGAGAATTTTGATTGCCTCATTTTTACTTTCCTCCTTCTTTGACTGATGCACTTCCTTTTCAGTTACATCACTGACCTTTGACCTGTTTTTGGCCTGTTCCAGTGGTGCTGTTGACTGTTGACCATCATTGACAGCAGATCCTTCAGTTTTAGCTGGTTCTTTATGTTGTGAATGAGGTGTTTCCTTGCTGATGCTGAGTTGGCCTTTGTTTGTTTATTTTTCAACCCTGGATGGATAATTTTTCACTTCCTGTCTACTCTGACCTCTGTCTGTGTTCCAGGTGCTTGGTGGGGTTTCTCGATAAGAGTCCATCTCGTTTACCAAAACCTTTCTCTTTGATGGCTGAGATCTCCTTTTCAGCTTGGGCCTTCAGTTTTGACGTCAATATCTCTTGCTTGGTCTGGCCTTTCTCTTTTAGTGACAAAGCTCTGAATGAGGACGGATGGACGTCATTACTCGTTTCTACAGTCTGCTCAGCTGGCTTAGTCTTACTCTCAATCTGACTGGCCAGTTTGAATTGTTTGGATGACTCACTATAAACCCATTGACCCTCACTCCCTCGCTCATGTTTCTCTCTCTTATCTCCCTGCTCTTGTTCTTCTGCTCTAGTTGTGCCGTGTCTGATGTTGGAGATACTTTCATCCTTTGTATATCTGCCAGTTCTTATTGCCGTTTCATGTTTATTAGTGGCAAGTGCATCATTCTGAGTCTTTTTACTCTCATCTGTTGTAGCTGCATCCTTAGAGGGCTGTTTGTTTTCCTTGGCTGAAACTGTATGACTGAACCCGTATTTCTCTCTCTCGCTGTTGTAGTCATCTCCCCCTTGTCTGCCCTTTCATACCTGCTGATGGGAGAGACATCTTTCTGTTGGAGTGTTTTGTTCTCTGCCTTTCCAGATATGGTCTGATTGGTGAGTTTGTCATCTGTTGCTGGAACTGCTTCGTTGACACTTTACTTTTCCTCTCTCAGTCGCTCTCTCTTCACCTGTTCATAATCTCTGGTAGTGATGATGTATTGTATACCGTATCTGTCCTCACTGGCTGACCATGAACTGTACTTAGCAGGTTCATTATTCTTTGCTTTTGTAAGCTCTGCCTTAGCTTGCTCTGCTTTAGCTGATTCTAATTTAGCTTGTTTTGCTTTAGCCGACTCTGCTTTAGCTTTCACTGCTTTAGTCAACACTGCTTTAGCTAATTCTGCTTTAGCTTGTTCCATTTTAGCTAACTCTGCTTTAGTTTTCTCTACTTTAGCCAACACTGCCTTTGCTAGCTCTGCTTTCGCTTTCTCTGCTTTAGCTTGTTCTGCTTGAGCTTTAGCTAACTCTGCATTAGCTAACTCTGCATTAGCTAATTCTGCTTTAGCTTGCGCTACTTTAGCTTTAGCTAACTCAGTTTTAGCTAGCTCTGCTTTCACTGGTTCTGCTTTCGCTAACACTGCTTTAGCTTGTTCTGCTTTAGCTAGCTCTGCTTTAGCTAGCCATGTTGTTTGCATCTTATTGGGGTCATTTGTAGTAAACACCTCACTTCTGGGATATTGGTGGCTCTTTGTGGCACTAAATTCATCTTTGGTCTGTTGCAGTATTGTAGCAGTACTGTCTGTAAACTGGCCATGGTCTATGTATGCATTGTCTATGTATTGTCTGTTCTCATTCTTGTATGATGAATTCCACTGTACATCCTGGTCATATTGTTGTTGATCTACATATCCTTCGTGTCTGGAAAATGTGTTCTCTTCCACCCATGGGGCATGTGGTTTTCTCTGAACAGGTGGCTCGCTTTCTGTCATGGTGTATGGACTGTACATGTTTTATCACCCTCCGAATACAGACTCTGTTTTCTGTGGTATTGTCCTGTACCCCTGTACAAATTATCATTCTGGTTCAGATACTTGTCTTTGGTGGTGAGAGATTCATTGACTCAATACTGATCTCCAGTTCCATACTCATCCATAAAAGTCCCAGAATAGTGTTTCTGTTTTGTACGGTCTCTGATGATCTGCAGGTAGTCTGTATTTGAAGTGAATCTGTTTGACTGTTCCTCCTGATTGGCTAGTGTGTGGTCAGGAACCGGAAGCACTTCCTTATATTCTTATCTATTAAGACTTCACCTGCTGGATGTTCCCTTCCATCAGATACATACTGCTTCCCCTGTTCTCTGTTTTCTTGTTGTCCATACATATTCCACTCATATTTCTGGTTTGGGTCATGTTTCATTGTAGCTGCTCTGTGTGAGGGTAGAGACTGTTTGTCTTTCTCTATTAGAGCAGCAATCTCCCCTTTCCATGGAGTGTTTCTGTTTACAGTGTTGGTTTTGTTTGCAGTGATGCCATCTGTCATGTAAGTGTTTATGACTGTTGGGGGATGCGTTAGGGGTATGATTAAGGATAGGGTAATGTGATAGGGTTGGGTGATCTCACTGTTGGAAGGGTGTTGTCTAAGCCTGGTTTAATGGAGCTGACTTGCTCAGACCAAGCATTTTGGATGAGCTCTGTTCTATTTATTTCATCTGGTTGAATAAATGGTGATAACCCACCTTGGCCGTTCTGACTGGTACTGAGCTGATCTCTGCTACTGTACCACTGCACTCCACTGTAATCCTGATGGTAAACCATCTCCCCCTGAGTCTGAGACAACCACACTGCCTGGGTAAGTGCGCCTTGCGGTCGGATGCCAAGCAGTTGCCATACCAAGCGGTGATGCAGCCAGTCAAGATGCTCTCAATTGTGCTGCTGTAGAACTTTTAGAGGATCTGATGGCCCATGCCAAATCTTTTTTGCCTCCTGAGGGGGAAGAGGCATTGTCGTGCCCTCTTCACGGCTGTATTGGTGTGTTTGGAACATGATAGATCCTTAGTGATGTGGACACCGAGAAACTTGAAGCTCTCGACCCGCTCCACTACAGCCCCGTCGATGTGAATGGGGGTGTGCTCGGCCCTCCGTTTCCTTTAGTCCATGATAAGCTCCTTTGTCTTGCTGACTTTGAGGGAGAGGTTGTTGTCCTGGCATCACACTGCCAGGTCTCTGACCTCCTCCCTATAGGATAATACATTAGGACATTCCAGTGTCAGGACGTCTTTTGTTAGCTACGATAACACAAAGCCGAATAAAAGTACTTGCCATATTCTTGGTCCTCTGCTGCAGTCACCCTGGACTCAATAATATGGGGAGGCATGGAGGCAGGTCGTGTGCCGAGGAATTCGTCCAGTTCCCTGTAGAACGGACAGGTCTCCCGGCCACTACCACTCAGTCATAATTTTTTTTTGTCTTAAGATATGCATATTTGATGTCTTTGATTTTATTCTGGCATTGGTCCATGAATGATGGTGGCCATGTTCAAGCAACCCCGCAGACATCTCGATATAGATTGATATTTTTCTGTAACATGCCTCCAACCTCTCTAGAATCTGATCTTGCGACCAAAAGGCAATCAGAAGCTTCTTCTCCAGAGTGGATCAGGTCCGTGAACTCTCGTTTGCCATGGTCTATAAATGTACAAACAGCAAGCGTGATATGTACAAACAGCAAGCACGAATGCAAAGTATAGGGATTTCTCTCTGGCGAACCTCTGTTTATACATGGTGCCAGAAGCATCCTTTGACCTCTGAACCTAGACCTCTTACGTTAACTCTCATGTGACTACAATACACATTGGCCCGATACACTTCTCTTCACACTGCAATGCTCGGAGGGGGGTGACTCTCGAGGAAGGCTCGCCCGCGACCTCCGGAGGTAGCATTTAGATGTGATAAATTTGCAAGTATACATTAAAAAAATAATCAATACCTCTCGAGAATCTCTTGAGAATCTCCTTAATCCTCATCAATGTGAAAAGAGCCTCAGTTAAATATGGCAAGGAGGGGGAGAGAGGGAAACTGGGGCCTGTCCCCGAGCTTCTTCAAAGTGAGAAGAGATCAAGGAGGAATTGAGTATGTGTGCCTCTCACATAACCCTGAAACGATAAACCAAATGAGCTCAACAAAGAAAATCTATGGGGATTTATGTTTGCAACCCCCGGAAATCCAAACTGTTCAGTGCAGAGCTTAAAAAAGTATTTGAGTAAATGCCCACCAGGAGCAAAAGCCTTCTACCTCCACCTACTGTGCTGTGCGCAAGAGAAGCTCGATCGACAGGAAATCTGATATTCCCGGGAACCAATGGGACTGAATACTCTTGGTACGTTAATCAATTAACAGAATATTCCCCTCATGAGTCATAATATAGTTCCACATGTGTAACATTGTCTAATGCTTACGTTATCTGTTTATGGTAATTCCGATCCACAAGCAATACACCAACCACAGCCTCAGAAGCACAGCTGTCCATCTTCTTTCAGACGCTGGGTTGGAGGCAAGACAAATCTTGTTGGCGATAGGGCACCGATGTGACTCCAGCCTCAGGAGCTAGTGGGCTCCTTCTGTAGAAGAGAGGAGACGATGGAGCTGGCTGCTCTCTTCCTCGGAGCAGCAGGACACACAGGCGGCACAGCAAGACAGCACAGCACAGGATTTGAACTCCCCTTTTCAATGTCTAAATTCAAAATGAATGGAAATGTACAATTTCATTTCAACAAATAGCTTGCCTTGCATCTCTGATACGATAGCTAGCTAGAATTTACTGTTGGCATGACAACTAATGTAGTGACATCAATTTCTGTAGCCTATATTGTTATTCAATTAATAGAAACAAATCATTGTGTGTCTTGTGTGAGTGTGTGTGTGTGATTAATTATAGCCTTGGTATAAAAGGGGCAATCAACTCGGGGCTCTATGCGTTCTATGAAACCTTTCTGTGAAAGGTTAAGGCCTCGTGCACACCAACTGCGTCAAACTGTACGGTTCCGGTGTGAACCATTCATTTCAATGGGAGGCAATCCGCACAGATATGACTCATCTGCTGGACAAGGTAGCGGTGCGTTTAGTGTGTTGCATGCGCTGGATTTTTCCAACTTTGCTTTTCTGTGCGGTCTCAGAAACGGAAGTAGATAAACAACCAAAGAAGGTGCTAATGTGTAACGTGATTATTTTTGTTGTCATACAATGCATAGATTGCAGCAATTATGTAAAATGTACCGTACGGCAATGTAATGATGTAACCTGTGTGCACCCGGCATAAGCCTAATTCACATTACATCTGAGCAGTCCTTTGTATTGCGCCAGATGTCATTCATTTCAATGAGGACCATCTGCAACAGAGTGGTATCGCAGCGGCCCTTTGTGTTTGAAGGCTCCGTTGTGAAACGAATGCCGCATGCACACCATGTCACGCCCTGACTCAGGGGACGCTTATATGTTGAGTCAGGGTGTGTATATTCCTTGTTGTGTTTGTTTTATGTTGTAGGATCTAGTATTCTAGATCTATGTTGGCCAGTGTGGTTCCCAATCAGAGGCAGCTGTCGCTCGTTGTCTCTGATTGGGGACCATACTTAGGCAGCCTATTTGCACTAGTGGGTTGTGGGATCTTGTGCCGTGTGAGGTATGTTGTTTGTGTACCGTGGACTTCACGTTTCGTTTGTTGTTTTGTCACTTGTTTATTAGTTCCAAATAAACATGTATGCATATCACGCTGCGCCTTGGTCTGACCCGTCGATGAACGAACGTGACACACCAACTAAGTCAAACTGAATGAGTTCCGCACAGCTGCGACTCTAGGTTGCGTGCACTGCCGGACTAGGTTGCGTGCAGTGTCGCATGCTTTGGATTTTTCCAACTTGTGCGTTGCTTTGCCATGTGGTATCAGAAATGGAAGTAGATAAACCACCAAAGAAGGTGCAATTGTGTAGCGTGATTCTTTTTGTTGTGATGCGGCACATGGACTACGCCGATATCGTAAAATGTATTTTACAGCAATGTAATGACGCAACCTGTGTTCACATTACATACCACGGAGTAGTAGTCGCTGTGCCCCCTTGTGGTTGAAGGCTCCATTGTGAAACGGATGCCGCATACTTAGAATTTTTCCAAACTTTGCGTCGTCTTGATTGCAGCCAGAGTCCGTCAATAGAACAGGAAGTTACCAAACCATGGAACAAGATGAAAATATGTTTTGGGTGATGACTTTATGGGATAGCTACAGTAGCAACTTGTAAACAACCCATTCCTATAAGTGAGTACTATTTTAATAGTAATGTTAAATAATACACATTGGCTGTTAAGCAAATTATACTATATGACTCCCGTTTTAGTTTACTGTGATGGCAATGACGTTTGCTTTTGATGATAATTATCGCTAGCTACAGTATCTTCAACCTAGCCTAGCTTTTAGCTAGCTAGCTAGCTAGCTAGCTGCTCTGTAAGCTAGCTTGACTTGCTAGAAAGTTAGAGAAACAAGTTGAGGAAAAGGTAACTAAACAAAACATGTTTTATTATTACCTGAAACAATATGTTTCTCCTGTCTTGAATGAAAAGGTCATATTTTGCAATCTCCCAAAATAAATACGATCTCTGATGAGAGACTAGGCTCTCCTCCATCTTGCTTGCATTGTAAAACCCTATGCTCTCTGTCCAGTAGCGAAACGAGATTGTGTGAAGATGACGTACGGCATAATGAAATACGTCACGATGTGTACTGGGCATTAGTCCCACTCCGCTAATGCGTTGTGGAACACACCTTCCACGTCGTGCATTATTTTCCATAGAACGCATAGCCCCTTGTTTGATTACATAATTTTCCAATTTCTTTCAGCATACAGTCTTTTTTGCTCATCTTTATCAAGGGTGCCAATCATTTCGGTCATGACTGTATATGGTAGGAGGGATCAAATAGATTACACCAAACAAGCCATTATATGTCAGCTAAATGTACAAACAGAAACTATTCCATAGGTATTATAATCCAAATGAACCATAATGTAGATATTGATTGCATTGAAAAGCTGCATATTCATTCATCATACCAGCCCTGTCCTAAAAGACATAATTAAACTTAGAGATTGTCTCTAGTCCTATATCCATGGTCTCTGATGCCCATAATCTGATATCTCCTGTCAAAGTGTGATTTCTCTTAATCTGTGTATGCGGCAGGTTTTCTAACCAATGAAGGGCCTCTAAAGCCTGATACCACTGGGCCTCCCTTCAAACAGCCAGTGGTGATTTACAGTTACACCTTACAGCTACTAAACCCACCACTATATAACAGAAACCATTAGTGTGCCAATATGAGTAAAAATATATATTCCAGTCCCATGTTCATATTTTTCAGTTGCAGGAAGTCCAATGCAGTGAAAGACTGTGCAGCAACAGCTATATACAGTGAATGACTGGTCATTCAACTGAGACTGCTCTTCTCTGTGTCACGGAGGCTCTCCGCACTGCTAAAGCTAACTCTTTCTCCTCTGCTCTT